TATTCTTTACAAAAAAGTGTTAATCCATTTATGTGAAAAAATCATTAGTTTGATTTATATTGCGTAATAATGACGCAAATTCAGATGGCAAAATGTGGTGAGCCACTCTGTATATCAAAATATCCTTGGTAAACAAAAGAATTGTAGCAATCATATGTTTTAATTTATCAACTCAGTTGAAACTTTAAAATTTGGAAATTTGTTTTGTTTAACAAATTTAATTTTAAATTGTTAACATTATCTCTAGAGATTACATGTGAACACAAGTTTGTACAACACTTTTCTTTGAAAGATAGCAATTGTTTATTTAATAGTAACGTGATAAATTAACAACGGGAACAAGGTTTCGTAATGCAGGTACTCTATTTTAATTTGTAAGATTTCATCATTAATGTATTAGAGAAATTAGATAAATAAGGTTATGTTCAAAGTATCGAAAAACTTGAGAAATATTTAATTAAAAAGGACTAAAAAAAAACTTTAATGTTAGACTTAAAATTGTTAGACTTAAAAACTTCTCAAGAATAAATTGTGTAAGATTGACGTATTAACAGTATACCAATTAGCGATAATTTTCAGTCGAAAAGTCAGATGAATAAAGAGAAAAGGGATGAAATTGTAGAAACGAGAAATCGAAATAGATCATATGGTTTCTAGGAAATGTTCGGGGAAGCTTTGTAATGTTTGGCTACATTTCGGGTATTATATCAAGCTTGGTATTGTAACAGCAACAGGCGGACAAAAGCTATGCGATTACCTGAACATGCGTCGACAATAAATACCGGTGACCCTGTTTCGCGACCATATAATAGACGCGAATCGGATTAACGACCGCAGAATCGAAACGCATCGCGCCATCCATAGCTGCAATACATCCGCCATTGAGTGTTAAATGGCGACGTGTCCGAAGATACCCGTGGAATGGAAATTGAAACAGATAAATATGGAGATATAGCTGATAGGTATATAGGACAGACACTGAACATGAAGAATTGTTGATGGGTTATATAAATAAGAAGTGGAGATTTGTTAGATTATTTTTAGGTGATATATTATAGTTTGGACAATGTCAAGGTTAGGTCAGGTGTTGTGAAAATGCTTTTGATATGCAATTAATTTTGAAATATTTCATGGGGTCTACAATCAAAATTGAGGGCATCCTTTCAGTAAAATTATGGTTAAACTACTAAATTAATTTTGATTAAATTACGGATCTATTAATTGTGATTAAATTATTGGGCCACTAAGTTTTCAATTATGATTAGATTATTGGGCTACTGAATATTCAACCATGATTAAATTACTGAAGTACTAAATTTTCAATTATGATTATATTGCTGAACTACTAGATTTTCTATTGTGATTAAATTATTAAAAATAGTAAATCTTAAATTGTGATTAAATTACTAAAATTATTAAATCTTCAATTATGATTAAATTACTTAAAGTACTAAATCTTCAATTATGATTAAGTCACTACAACTAATAGATCTTTAATTATGTTTAAATTACTAAAATTACTAAATCTTCACTCATTATTTAATTACTTCAAAAACTAAATCTTCAATTAAATCTTCACTCGTGATTAAATTACTAAAACTACTAAATCTTCAATTAAATCTTCAATCATGATTAAATTACTAACTCTACTAAATTTTCACTCATGATTGGATTACTAAAACTACCAAATCTTAACTCATGATTGAGTTACTAAAACTACTAAATCTTTATTTACGATTACATTACTAAAATTACTAAATCTTCACGCACAATTAAATTACTAAAACTAGTAAATTTCCATTCGAGATTAAATTACGAAAACTATTAAATTTTCATTCGAGATTAAATTACTGAAACTACTAAATCTTCACTCACAATTAAATTACTAAAACTATTAAATTTTCATTCGAGGTTAAATTTTTAAAATTCTAAAAATTCTAAAAATTCTGAAAATGACTAAAATGACTAAAATTACTGAAACTACGAAAATTATCGAAACTACTAAAATTACTGAAATTACTGAAATCAGTAAAACCACTAAAATCAATAAAATTACTAAAATTACAAAAATTACAAAAATTACAAAATTTACAATAATTGCAAAACTTGCAAAAATTACAAAACTTACAATAATTACAAAAATTACAAAAATTACAAAAATTACAAAAATTACAAAATTTACAATAATTGCAAAACTTGCAAAAATTACAAAACACAATAATTACAAAAATTACAAAAATTACAAAAATGATTAAAATTACTGAAATTACTAGAATTACTAAATAATCACTCATGATGAACTTACCAAATTACTACATCATTAATTCTGATTAACTACCTAAATAATGATCAAACTACCTAAAGTATTCGCAGCAGAGCAAAGTTTTTCGTGACAGATCGATAAATTAACGACAGCTACCTCAGCAATGGCAGCGTGAACGTACAGCATAGTAAATTCTTTTCATTGTACTTCGAATGCTTTGACATCGAACAAAAGAGAAGAAATGGTGCTCGGGGATCATGGTTGAAGAAATTTCGTTTGAAACGTCAACATACAACAAGAAAGTTGGCTGTATACTGGGAAAAAGTGAGCTGCACAGAATGTTCTTTCATTTTTCCTGTTTATATATAGAAAGTTTACGAAGCGTAAGGTCAAAGGTAGATCGCGAAACCATCGATTGCACCGTTTCAATCTATCATGTGTATCGGCAACAACAGATGGGAAATAGATTTCTCAACTATCAGATAATCGTTCTAACGGAATAATTTTATGTGCAAAGTTTTTCAACGAGAAGCATTCATTATGTTATTGCGATATGGGAGCTTGTTAGGTTAGGTTACATATTAACTTTGACTGCCACATTAAAACAATTTTCAATTGCATCCAGTAGTGTTTTCAGTTTTTCAAATATTTTCGCAATATCTTGTTACATTTATTTTCCATAGATCCATGTAATTAATGTGTGAAAATTCGATTAGGAAAGTGAATCAATTTTTAACAACATACATGTTAAATCAGTACAGATACTTAAGTGTCATTCATATATGGGTGGCAGTCGACGTGTTAAATTTTTTTTAGGTTACATTTGAAGGAACGAAGTCTAACAGAATATCAGAAAATGTTAGTCATTTGAGACTTCAGTGGAATAACTACGGAAATATCTTGTCGATATTCTTAATATAAAATGGCTGCTTGCAGTACACATAGCTTATTCTTAAGTAGGTAACTGTGAAATCATTTGATGATAGAAAAATGTAAAATTTTATAAATGGTATATTAATTTGAATTGTAAGGTTGTAGAACTTATTTAAAAAAATTTGAAGTTCTTTTAGAGGAGAATTTACACTTGAAGTATGATTTATAGCTAAAGTTTGATGAAAGTGGCTGTGCAATTTTATTGATATTCTTCATATAAAACTGATGGCTACCATTTTATTAGTACAGTAAACAGTGCTCAATTTCTAAAACAATATATAGGTGTAGTTTGTATCATTTAAGGACATAAAAATGTTGTAAAATGTCACAAATAGTATATTAATGTTTAGAACTATAAACATTTAGAATTTTATGATTTTAAAGATTTAAAACATTCGGGCTGCAAGTTTGTTTCTGTGTAAATTTCCAGATTTGAAAATTCTAAAATCTGGAAATGGGAAAATTCTAAATTTAGAAGTTTAAAGGTAGAAAAGGTATAAAATTAGAACCTTCAGAAATTGAAAAATTTAATATTAAGATATTAAAAAAAATGGCCAATCGAAAGAATAGGAAAGTTTAAATATTGATCAATTATGGTTGAATACTTAAACAGTTGAAAAACTGAACAATGAAATAATTGAATAACTTAGTAATTGAGTAGTTGAATACTTAGAAACTTGAATAAATAAATAATTGAACAATTCAAAAATTAAACGAGCGGACAACTGAATAATTCAACAATTCAACAATTGAGCAATTAAACAATTGAACAATTGAACAATGGAACAATGGAACAATTGAACAATCGAATAATTGAACAATTGACCAATTTAAAAATTAAATAGTGAAGCATTTCGACAATTGAAAAATTGAAAAATTGAAAGATTGAGAAATTGAAAGATTGAGAAATTAAAAGACTGAGAAATTGAAAGACTGAGGAATTGAAAGATTGAGGAATTGAGAAATTGAGAAATTGAAAAATTGAGAAATTGAGAAATTGAAAAGTTGAGAAATTGAAAGATTGAAAAATCGAAAAATTGAAAAATTGGGAATTTAAAAAATTGAGAAATTGAAAAATTGAAAAATGGAGAAATTGAAAGATTGAGAAATTGGAAGATTGAGAAATTGAAAGACTGAACAATTGAAAGATTGTGAAATTGAAGGACTGAGAAATTGAAAGACTGAGGAATTGAAAGATTGAGGAATTGAGAAATTGAGAAATTGAAAAATTGAAAAATTGAAAAATTGAAAAATTGAAAAATTGAAAAATTGAAAAATTGAAAAATTGAAAAATTGAAAAATTGAAAAATTGAAAAATTGAAAAATTGAAAAATTGAAAAATTGAAAAATTGAAAAATTGAAAAATTGAAAAATTGAAAAATTGAAAAATTGAAAAATTGAAAAATTGAAAAATTGAAAAAATAAGAATTGAAAAATGAAAATATTGAGAATTGGAAATTTGAAAATTTCAAAAAACCGAAAATCTTAGAATAAAAAAATTGAAATATTGAAGAATTTCAAAATTGAAAAATTGAGAAATTAACAGTCGACAAAATTGGCGATTGAATAGTTGATATTTAATAACTTGGAAACTTGAAAATTAAAACAGTTGAATCATTAAACGACTGAAAAAGTTAGAAATTTAATAACAAGCTATCGAGTAAATTTATAATATCATCCCCAAATAAAAATTAAATTAAAAAAAATTTCAAATAAAAATGAGCTTTGAATTTCTTAAAATTGTCAGTACTTTCCCTAGATCTTTCAAAAAATCACTGCAAAGAATCCTTAATCAGTAAACATGCTTACACACGTGCGTTGTTTCTGTAAAACCATGATGACCCATTTCCCTCGGATTTTGTACTTAAATTTTTCGCCCGAATTTTGCGATAATGGTATGTTGTTGAAAGAATTTCTGAAAAATCCTGAATACCGATACGCTAATTGAAGTTCTCGTATGTTTCAGCACTGTTTCGCAATATCGTACAGGAGAGAAAATCAACGGCAGTACGAGCTAAAAGCAGCCACGGAGTCTGACTGCAAAACGTGGATCGATGCTATACGCGATGCCAGGTAACTATTCCGTGTGCAAATCAGAGTTCAGAATTGATATAACCGACGTGGAATGGATTTGCTTTTCGCGAGGGAAACGCGTGTGGAACGAGGAACGAACGGTTTCTAACAATGAAAAAAGTTAATTACACGAAGAGACCGTAGCTCGGTGCAAAGCCTTATTAAGTCTTTATCAGTGGTGTGTGCATCAACCGCAGGAAATTATTTCCCTCGGAACGAAGAAATAGCATGATATTGTTCATTCTGATATTAATTACCTGCGGTCTCTGTGACGTTATGTGTGCACAGCGTTCGTGAAGATTAGCGCTTTCCTTTAGAATATTGCATTCGATGTTGTCTTTCCACGCGTTTGGGAATTTCAAGAAAATTGTTTTTTGCGTATTTATCAATTTTTAGGGTTTCTATATTCTCAGGTTTTGGAATTTGCGAAATTTCAAGTTCTCAAACTGAACAATTTAACTCCTTCGTTTCTGAATGTTTGAAGTTTAGAATTTTAGTAAACTGGAAATATAGTTATTATTATTTTCATTCATTTAGAAATTTCTACAATTTTTAATTACTGCATTTAGATATTTGAAAATATCTGTAATTATATATCATCAAATTTGGAATTTATGGATCAGTATATTATGTATTTTCAAATTTTTATAATTTAGAATTGTTACATTTCCATATTTTCAAATTTTCAATTTTCCAATTATATATTTTAGCATTTTCAAAGTTTATTAATATATCAATCCGTGAATTTATCAATCTAGGAATCTATCAATCTATGAATCTAGCAATCAATTACTCTATCAATCTATCAATCTATCTTTGTATCATTTCATCAATTCATCAATTTAGCAATTCACAAATTCACCAATTCACCAATTCACCGATTCATCAATTCACCGATTCACCAATTCACCAACTCACCAAATCACCAATTCACCAATTCACCAATTCATCAACTCATCAACTCATCAACTCATCAACTCACCAATTCACCAATTCATCAATTCATTAAGAACTTTTTTTTTCTCTTTTCTCCTTCGGAACGGTTTAGAGGTAACTTTCTTTAAACCGGAAGTGTTCTGCGTGTTCGAATTTCATTGAACGGAAATATCAAAAAAAGAATTTGTTGAAGCGTTTAAAGTATCCACTAATTATAAACATATACGAGTGTTCTTATATTTAGTTACTAAATTTCTTTACACATTTATATAGAGTAACATTCGCGATTACTTAAATAATTGTTTACCATAAAAAAATGAAGGTTATAGTAGTAAAATTTGAAAATTAGCGATTAAATAACGAAGAATATCAACGTTTACTATTCATCGATTCATCGATTCATCGATTCATCGATTCATCGATTCATCAATTCAACAATTCATCAATTCATCAGTACATCAATTGATCAATTCATCAATTCATCAATTGATCAATTGATCAATTCATCAATTCATCAATTCATCAATTCATCAATTCATCAATTCATCAATTCATCAATTCATCAATTCATCAATTCATCAATTCATCAATTCATCAATTCATCAATTCATCAATTCATCAATTCATCAATTCATCAATTCATCAATTCATCAATTCATCAATTCATCAATTCATCAATTCATCAATTCATCAATTCATCAATTCATCAATTCATCAATG